ATGAGTGGAGTTGGCACAGTGCTTAATCTGATGGTTCTTACAGACAAGGAGAAGATGGCAAGACAACCAGGCAATTTCAATATAACATACTAAATGCTATGATACAGGAAAGTATTTGATTCTATTTATGTGAAGACAAAAGGAAGGTGTTATTCATTATCGTAATTAGTTATTGCTGCTTAACAAATCACCCTAAACTTAAAATGATAAATATTTATGATCTCACACAACTTCTGAGGGTCAAGAATTCAGGAATGGCTTAGGAGGATGGTTCTGGTTCAGGGTCTCTCATGATGGCACATCAAGATGTCAGTCAAGACTGCAGGCACCTGAAGGTTTGATCAGGGCTGAGGATCTGCCTCTCTCTTCTACTGAGTGGGGCTAATAATACTTACCCCTATGAGTTTGTCACAGCGGTGTACGAGATAATGCTTGTAAAAATGCTTTAAAGGACAGTTCTAAAATCGGAGTTGTGCTTCATGGGTGATTTTTTAAGTTTTTACAGGCCTAATCAAGTTTTAATCACCAAGAACAACAATGATAATAGCTAGCATTGAAAGATATTACCTTTAATAATAATAGCTAGCTTTAATAATAATAGCTAGCTTTGTGCCTGGCACTGTGCTGAATGCGTTGTGGTCATCACTTCTTGTTTTTTTCCTTTCTTTACATCATTTCCCCCACGCCTTTCTGGTACATTTACATGTGCACATCTGGCCGGATCTGGGGTGACTGCAGGGCCTGGAGTCTTTGGGAGAATTCATTTGGAAGATTGTGACAGCCATGGATCAGAGTGAAATCCTGGAAGCTTTGGCTGCTAAAATAAGATACTCTAAACAGGTAGTGGAAAACTTTAAGCAAAATGAACTCCTCACAACAATTTTCAAGAGACTGCGGGAACACACTGCCCCCTGGAAGGTGGCTCTTCTCCCCACAGGGCCGAAAGTAACCAGGAATGAAGTTAGGCTGAAATAGAATTTTGCGAATGTTGGCAACTTAGCAATTATACATTAAAGCTACCTTGAAGCTTGAGGTTTTTAAATATACATTAAACAAATGAAATTTTGAAACTTAAGGATCTGATTTTCTGAAGTTACTGCAATGGACGTGATGAGCTTACCAAGGGAGAGTGCCTCTTTGTGGCCCAGGAGAAAATAAACATTACTATCTAGTCCTGAGGAATTTCATACTAAAATAAAATCACTCTCCTAATGCTTAAGGGAATCAAGTTCTCTCTCTTTAAAGCAAACAGGACAGAGGTTAACAGTAACCACACCTAGGTTGTGTACGGGGAGAGGTAATATGGGCATTCACTGTACTCTTCTCTCAACTTTTCTGGATGTTTGAAATACATCTTTCACAATAAAACATGTTGAGAAAAAGGAAAAATAACAGATCATCAGAAAATAAAAGTAGAACAGGTTTAATCTTATAGAAAATAAAAGGACAGTACTTTAAGTGGAATATATTTAGCTTTATAAAAATTCACTACTTTTACCTTATTTTTCTTACCTTCCCATGGAGGAATGAAAACCCCTGAACATTCTCTTGAGGACCAGCACTGGGGACCCTCTTTTCTAAAAAGGCAGCACATGGGCAGTTGGTTAAGAGAATGAGTTTGGGACCTTGTTATGATTTTAATCCCAGGCCCTGCGGGCTCTTGCTCTGTTAGTGACTTGAATTTCTTGTGCCTCAGTTTCCTCATCATTAAAAATTGGGCTGATAATAATAGAATAAGGAAAGTTAAGTGATTTGGTCACTGTCACACACAGCTTGTAAGTGACATTAACTGAGTTTGGTCACAAAGAAAAATTACAGGAAACTTTACTACTGAAACTTTCCCTTATATCTTCATACCTATAGGTCTTGGTTCGAACTTCTCTTAGAAGCCTCAAGCTCTGTGCGTCTCTTGATCTGATCCTAATTGACATGTTTCTAATTATAGGGGGTGTTTCATTTTTCTTTATTTTTCTCAGAGACATAGCATAATTTTTTTTCACTCTTTGTGTGTTTGAGTGAATAAGTGAAATATAAATATACCTTCTTATGTAAGGCCAGGAGAGAGTTTTTTCCCTTAAGAATCCTATTTGATATTCTTCCTTATTGGTTACCTCACATGAGAAGTTTATCAGAACCAGGAAGCTTCCCAAACTCATTAGCATATTGAGTTTGACACCAAAACATGAGGCTTAAAGTCTCAAGGAATAGTGACTTAAAGTACGTTTTGCAGAATTGTTGAGGTATTTGTGTGTATGATGAAAAGGGAAATGACAATCATTGTGGTAATGATAATGAACTACAGAAATGTGGCTCTAGGATTATTACACTAGACCTTGTGCCCACTGCATGAGTAACACCAAATTGCTTTAAGCAAAAAAACTCGTCAATCTTATATTCATAAATTGTCAGTTATAGCGGAAGTGATCAATTAAAAAATAAAAGACAGTTAAAGTGCAGAAATCCTTGTCAGGAATTGGGCTTTAGTCTTTTAAAATGTGGGCAGATAGGGCCATCTGGTGTGCAGCTGTATTATCACACATTGAAAAAAATGGTAACCTCACTAGTAATTATTGTGATTCAGTTGGCTTTACAAAAACAAACCATTCTTTAGCCTTTCTTAGGGTTACATGTTGAAGACCTTGGCTCATTCCCAAACTTAAGGTTCCTCAAACCTACAGTAATCTTACAAGTGAAACAGGGCTTGCCCTCTGAATGACCCTTGTAAGACCAAAGTTGAAGACATACGCAAACTAAAGTCCAAGGGCACAGAAACTATGAGTAAATAGAAGAAGCCAGTGAAATAAAGCAGAAAAATGTAGCTCATGAGCCAGGAGAAGGGAACAAGAGACCATGAAACCTACAAGAGAAAAAATAACGGCCTATCCACGGGCTCCCTCAGGCCGTGATAGCATTCTAATTTAGCTCATGTGCACCTTGATCATAAACTTTTGAATGAGTCTGTTGCTTGCAGTCAAATAAGCATAACTAAAAGAATATCAGTTCAGGCCCTTGAATCTTCAAGCCTTTTGAGCTGCTCTTCGTTTGCTCGGGCCCACTTCCACGTCTGGAAGTGTACTGTCGCTTCTAATACAACTATTCTTTTCTGCTGTATATATAAAAAAAGAATATTAGTTTGAGTGAACCCAAAGGACATAAATCTTAAAATCCAGCATTCCTTCTCAAGTCCCCAAGTCTCTGAATATCTTACTTCTTTAACCTTCTGATAAAGGCTACAGATAAGGCCTAGGAAGAGAGGAATAAAATGAGGTCATTACAACCATTTGAGACCATTATTCGTGTCTGGGCCACCCAGCCAGACTTCTGTCAGTTCATGTCTCTCTCCTATGGATGGACTAGGAATTGGAGAGGCAGATGCTCTCAAGCAATGCTAGAAAACTTGGCGATCAGAACCAGCAGTGTCTAAGGACCACCTTGTAAATCTTTGGCCAAAAATGGACTCTTCAATGCCTTAAATAAATCTCAGCGTTTGATTCACAAATTAGTAATTTCCTGACTGTCAGTGTAGATCAGTGGTTCTCAACTGAGCACAACTGGCAATGTCTGGAGACATTTTTGATTGTATGGCTGTGGGAAGGGAGACACTTCTGCATCAGTAGATCTGGTAGGGACCAGAGATGCTGCTAAATAGCCTACAATGCACAAGACAGTCCCTTCATAATAAAGAATTTCCTGGCCCTAAATGTCAGTAGTGCTGAGGCTGAAAAACCCTGGAGTCCATGGCAAGGGAAGCATAGAGGGAATTATTAAAGAGGTAGAAAAAGCAGCGGGTTGGTCCAAAAGTTGAGAGTTCTACCCATGGGACCACTACCTTGTTTGGGGAAGATACCGTACTATAATGCTACCTTTGTGCCAAGTCACAGGCAACAGGTGCCAGTAGAGGCTCTGGTGAGGGCAACCCAAGCTGGAAATCTAAGCAGTCAGTCTTTGAGAAGCTGAGCAAAGGCAGAGATAATGATTGAAGAAACTGAGGCTAATCAGTTTGACTCCATTCACCCTCTCCCCAACATCAGGAGACTTTGTGACCTAATTTCCTATTCAAATCTATCAAAGGAATAAATTAGTTTAAGTGAAAGGGACACAGGATTAAATTGGTGTGAGCAGAAGAGCAGCAAATTAATGGTAGTTTATTTAAATGCACATAGATTTAGAAAGAGTGATGCGTCAATGGGTCTTAAATGGGATAGTGGGCCTGTTAAAATTAAAACATGCTTTCATTAAGTTAACTTTTGGTTTTTCAAAGAAAAGTGAGTCTTTTCCCTAAAGAGAAGGCAGAGCAGGAATCCCAAAGAATATCACTTTCAGTACTTGAAGAAGACAAAAAGCAACACGGTTTTTTTTTTTTTGGTCACAGGACATTATAGGATATTTGTAGGTGCTCCGAGTGGACTTAAGAGCATCCACTTTGTAAATATGGAATTTGTTTCAAGCTAGGTTGATTTATAGAGGATCAAACCTAAAGAATAACATTCATTCGTTTATTCATTTCATTTAACAAACTTGTAGGTCTAGGCATTTTACTAAGTGTTAATAGAAAAAGGAATAAGATGTGGTACTCTGTCAGTTTAGTCAGGTGTATGCAGATAAATAATTGTTAAATGTTAGCCCTTTATAATCAAAAGAACCATTCTGCGGCTAGAAGAGACTTCTTGCAAGACTGGGTAACCCGGTGAGGGAGTTTGCATTTTTAACCTTCTCTAAATTTTACAATGCTGTGTTTACACACATAACAAAGTTTGTGAATCGGCCTGCGTGATGGAAAGCCCTGGAAGGTTTCTGAACAGTAACGTTCACTTTTCATAATGCCCTAAGACAAGGAGAGGCTAAAACTCAGAAAACCAGCATCCGCATCCCTCCTTTTTGCGTCAGTCTACTCCGGGTGGGCCTGGACTGCATTTCCCAGGATGCACACTTGCAAGAGCTCCTGCAGGATTGGTCAGAATAATACAGACGTGATTACGGGTCGCCCAGCAACGGGCGGAGTCCGGGACCCTGACTGGATGCCCACCCCTCTTCCCTACGGCCGGGAGGAGAAAGCTCAGCTCCATCTTCACAACGGAGCACTCACCAGATTTTACTTCTAGCCGAGCGGCCGTGCCATCTTCTTGGCGTTTTCACCGTCATTCTTCTCAGGCCCCGCCCCTTTTACGCTGGCAGCTGCGTAAACTCCGGAAACTGGATTACAGCTACTGAGTCGACTGAGCGGCTCTGGGCGGTGCAGTGCGCAGGCGCGAGCGTTTGGGTTCCCGACGCGCGCGGCGCGCAGTTGAAGAGGGAGTGAGTTCCTGGGCGCCGAGACGCGGCAGCGGGCGACCGCGCAAGTGGGTGACTGAGCGCCTCCTCTGCCGCCATGGCAGCCCTGCGCTACGCGGGCCTCGATGACACGGACAGCGAGGACGAGTTGCCTCTGGGTTGGGAGCAGAGAACCACCAAGGACGGCTGGGTTTACTATGCCAAGTAAGGGGGCCGCAGGGGGGCCGCCGTGCTTGGGATACACCTGGAGTAGGACGCAACTGGAAGCTGACGGTCTGACGCGCCCGGAACACTGCGCTGCTCTCGAGCGCACCTGCGCGGGGAGGGGCGCGGGGCGGCGCTCCGGCTTGGAGAGGGTGGGCGAAGTGGCAGTGATGTGAAGAGCTTCGGGTGGAAGACATCCAGGGTCCTGAGGCGGGACCAGACCCCGGCTATGGGCCTTGAGTCAGGCCAGGGTCACCTGGCAGCACTCAGGAGCGCCCTCTGCTGCTGAGGAGGCAGCGCTACTTGGTTCAATAATGGCAAAGGGGCCTTCTCCCCTTCTTCCTCAAAAACCAGAAAAAAAAAATGCAGATGCCCAGCTCCCTCCTCACGAGTATGGAGTGGGGATCTAGGAGTATGTATTTTTAACCAGTGTCTTAATATAGTTATGTATATATGTATGCTTATATGTGTATACATATCTATAGCTCATCTAGCTTCATTATGGTTTCCCGGAAAAGTTTTGGAAACACTCGCAGACCCTTTCTCCTGTCACTTACTGTGTGACCTTGGGCCGTTGAAAGGACTCTCAGTCACAGTGTTCTCATCTGTAAAATGGATTGACATGAGAGTCTTAGTTCAGGCAGCGTACATAAAACACTTAGCACAGGTTCAGTAAGTACTCTATGCTCAATAACAGCGTTTCAGCTGTCTCTTCAGCTTTCACAGCACCTCCTTAGGCCTGATATTAGAATAACATGGGGACTGTTTTAAATACAGATTTTAGGTCTCCACAGAGCTTTCGAGGTGAGACAGGTTATTAACTTTGAGAAACACGGATGTAAATGTGTGATTCTCAATATCTGGAAAACTTAAAAAATATCTTTGGTTCTACCTCCAGAGATTCTCATTTAATTGGTTTGCCCTCCCCTCCCCCATTAGTATGTTGTAAAATCTTCCCAGATTATGAACCATTGCTGTCTTTGGTGGCTTGGTACAAAGAGAAAACAGCAAAATAAGAAAGAGCTTGCTGAGTTCATGCATGCAAGACATATTGGGATCTTATGTGCCAGGCTCTTTCCTGGGTGATGGTTATACCGAGATAAATAAGATCGAGTTATCACCCTTAATGAGTGCCCAGTCTTATAGGGCAGAGTGACATGCAGTGAGGTAGTCCCAGTGCAGTGTGTGTAGTGAGCAGCAGTCTATTTAGAAGAAGGAATGTATGGCTAGATGGGCACCTCAGGTAAGATAAACTGATCAGGTTGGCACCTAAGCTGTGCTATAGGGTACAAGTAGAAGTAGGCAGGTCAGGGGGCGCCGGAAGGCAACCCAGGTAGAGGAAACAAAATTAGAACCCCCGACATAGTATATGTGGTGGAACAGGAATGTGAAGATTGAGTCAGGGGAGGAAGGACCCAGATTATGAGGGCCCTTTCATGTGCCGTGGAGAAGCTAGAGCTCTGTCATCAGGACCCATGGTCCAGTGAAGGATTAGAGCCAGATAGTGACCTTGGGTTTGTGTCTTTAGAAAGATAATTTCTGCACTGGAGAATTGAAAGGTCACTATTCTAGCAGCAGGAAGCCATTAGGCTGTTGCAGGGCTCCAGGCAGCTCCTGAATGGGCACTTGCTGTTCCCTCCACGTGAAGAGTTTTTTCATCCCTTAGAGCTGGGCTTAAATGTACTTCCCAAGAGACCTCTCGTATCCCACCCATGCACCCTCCTACCAGCACCTAGTTATCTGCCTTGTGGAACTTAGCCTTATCTGTGGTTACTTAGCAATACTCTTCCCTGGTTGCTCTCTGTCTTCCTCCCTAGGCTATAAACTTTATGAGGCAGGGACCTTTTCTTGTTTACCTCTGCATCCCCATGCTTAGCACCATAAAATAAATCCATGTGGAATGAGTAAATTAATTCATCTAGTCAAAGTTTACTGTGGGCTTCTGTGGGCAGGTGGCATAGCAGCCCCTGACAATGCAAAGAGGCACACAACCTGCTTCTTGCACGCCCCTCCTCCTGCTCTATGTGGGGCCTGTCCTTGTTCTGGCCACTTACCCCAGAGACACTCTGGCTTCCCTTCAGGTTTGCCTGGAGCCTTCTGTTAGGTCTGGAGGCTCCCTTGCACGTATTCACCCTGCCTTTTCCCTGTGTCTTGCCCTATGTTGGCTGGCCTTTCCCACCTGCTTCCTACATGGTGTCCAGTGTCTGGCCTTTTTCTTTCATGAAATAAGGTCTGTACACACTAGCTAGCTCCTCTGAGAGCTTCTTAGGAGCCCATACCCAGGGGATGCAGTGGCACATATGTGTTCTCCTAAAAGCCACCCCCCGTCCCCCCTGCTCCCCAGCCTCTACTATTGTTTTAGGTCTCAGACTGGCCTGTCTGGCCATGTTGTTTACACTGACTATGGTGACAAGGCCTGTATGGCTCCTAGCTGCAGAGTACCTCTTTCCAGACCCTCTTTCCAGTTTTGCCAGCCCTCTAATCTTTGACTCTCAGGGCCGAAAGATGCATCTGACAAACCTTAACCTTAAGGTCCCAGCAGTCCCCTTGATCTCTCCTGACCTACAAGCATCATGGCCTGTCTTTTCCCTCCTAACTCTGGAAAGGTCACTTGTCCTTCTCTTTGGGTTTGGGAACCTTTGCTCATGGACTATCAGAAGACTGCCCTTTGAATAGTTCCTGTATCCAAAAGGTCTTCCTCCCACTGCAGCAGGGCCAAGCCTGAGGGCAGAGGCCGTAGCCCTGGTTAGATCTCGGGGGTCTTGTGGTTCCTTACAGCCCCCTCTTGTTATGCAAGTTCTGTTGTTCCCCTGTGATTTCCCACATGCCCCATGGTGCACTTATAGGCCTTAAAGCACACACATCATATGGCTCCAGGGCCACCAGGCTGGGCTTCTGGGGAGGGGATTTTCTGCCACTGAGGGCAGACCTGTTACCAGAGAGAGCTGGTGGGCCTTCCTCACCTCTCTGGCACAGTCCAGAGCAGCTCCTCTGCCTAAATCAGGAGATAGAGACAGAAGGTTAAGGTCTCAGTGCAGGGGACTGTCATTACAGTCACCTGGGCCTCCTGGGTCTGCCACCCCTATAACCCTTTTCTTCTGAAGCCCAGGCCTCTAGGCAGCTTTGCCCTGTGGGGAGGTGGTTCCCACGTCCACAGGGCTGGTTGTCTTCATGGGCAGCTTGGGGTCTCCCAGTTAACTTAAACTATGCTTTAAAAAAACCTTAAAGAGCATACTTGAAAGTGATATCCATGTAATGTGGTATGAATTTAATTTTAATCCCTTTAGCTTAAATTAAGATCATTGTTAATTATCTTTAAATGACAAAAAGCTTATTAAAAGAAAAGAAAATATAAGAGGGCTCCTGTAGAAGGGGAAATAAGATAACTTTGGGGACATGTGTTCATTAAAAAGTCGTTTTAGATTACAATTAAAAAGAACACCTTTTAATTAATTTTTCTATGTAAGTATTAATTTAAAATAATACTACTTTGTGAAAGGCGTGGTTCTTAGTTCTTCACGCATTAACTCAGTTTTCTTTAACCTCAAGAAGTAGGTGCTGTTATTGTCCCCATTTTACTCATGGGGAAACTGAGGCACAAGGAGGTTAAACACCTCCAAGGGCACGTGGCTGGTGAGTGGAAGAGCCAGAAAACATGGGCACAGGGCTCTGGAATCCTTGCTACCGAATTACTGCTCTCTTCACCTCAATTAGGCCCCAAGGTCCTTTCACAGGATCACTGTGCCCTACAGGAGAAGGCTGGCAATGTCTGGAGCCACTTTCCTTTGACACAACTACAGGGAGTGGCATGTTGGCATCTAGTGTGTGGGGACTGGGAAAACTGCTGATCATCTGACAATGCGCAGGACAGCCCTCACAGCAAAGAACCATCCTGCCCTATGTGGCAGGAGTGTAAGAAACCCCGGCTTAGGCATTTGCTGTCAAAGTGAAAAACATGGCATAACAGTGTTTATTATTATTTTTTTAATGTTTTTCAGGATAGGAAAAAAAATGTTCTCAGTGAATTTTCCAGCTCCTTTGGAAAGCACTTATTCATTCATTCCAGGTGTTTACATTTGAGCGCCCACTATAAGCTAAGTGCAGGGCTGGGTATCTGAGGGATCATCTGGGTGCAGGCCTAGGATGTCCTTTCCTTACCTGCTGTAGAGTGGCAGCATTCCACTCCTGGGGGGTCACTTGATTGATTCTTGAGGGCAGGCTTTTTAGAGCTGGGTTCCAAGCTCATTTGATGCGTGCCTGTGAGATGCAAACTACTTATAACGTTAGGCAAAGGAAGATGTGATCCCATCTGTAAATTGACCTGAAGCACAAGGCAAGACAAGGCAAAGCAGAGAGCAAGAAAGTTTATGTTGTTGCCAGTGTTTGGTTTATCTGATTGCTCTTCCCTTCAGATTGCAAGAAGCAGGAGTTGTGTCAGTGAGGGGCAGGTTGTTGTTACTGGGAGTACTTCTTTGTGCAAGTAGGATTTGATAGTGTTCAGTATATAAGTAGGATTTGGTCCTTGCTACTGATACCCTATGCTTATACAATAATTTAATCATTTACCAGTCACTGTCACAGGTATGGTGTCTCTTGTCCTCCCAACAGCTCCTTGAGGTGAGTGTGTGGCCAGGGAGATTGGCTGACTGAATACAGGCAGTGTGAGAGCTCAGGTCTTCTGCCTCCTGAGTCCAGTGTCTACTCTGTCCCTGCACCACCACTAAGAGTTTACAAAATTAGACTAGAAGCCAGCAGTTCCTGAAAAGGCCTTGCTTGTGACTCATAAAATTTCACAGCAAATTCATACTCTGTTTATTTATTCTCTTTAAAATAATTTATAGGGAAGGAATATTCAAACTTTACCATCTAGATATCAGTGATTAAGTATTATTTTCTATTTTGGCATGGGTATGTGAACTTTTAGGAAATTCATCCTCTTTGAATGCCTCTTGCAATATCCAGCTTTTCCCTGATTAAGTAATTTTATGTTTCCCTTGATACTTTATCACTGTTGACAGATGTCTCTTGTCTTTTATTGGCTCACAATTTTAATTATAATTTTGTGTGCTCTGAGATGAAATGCTAACTTTGACACAGAAAACAGCTTAGTTTGTATATTTGATCAAAATAATAGCTAGTACTTTTGAGGGCTTCTCGTATGCCAGGTACTGTGGTCAATCCTTTGTATAGAATATTCTTGTAAGGCCCCCTGAGATCAGTATGAGGATTATTTCCAATTTGCGGATGAGGAAATCGAGGCCGCGAGGCTGAGTAACTTGACCAAAGGCACATAGCTAGGTGACTATAGGGCTGTCGTCTTGCATTCTTAATCACCTCACAAGATCAGTTGGGAATCAGTAGTTAAAAAAACACTTTGAAGTTATATATCTGTGGAAAGAAGAAACATTGAAAAAGATTAGTAATATATCTCAATGATTTATAAATATCAGCATTATGAATTAGACTGAAGTTTGTCAGTCTGAGAATAAAATGATAGATTTTATTCCAGGATAGTTGAGTGATTCAGCGAGTTTCCTAAAGTTTACCCAGGACCGAGGTTTCAGTCTTCTTTCTGCTCCCCCGTCCTGTTCCTCCTTCACAGCCAGCTTGTGAAGGCAGGCTCTCAGGAAACTTCCACAGATTGCTGCTGCTCCTGCCTTGGAGAATATGACCTGATGCAAACAGTAGCAAATATGTTCTACTTCTTTCTGAATGTCTGACTTTACTACTCTTGAGAAAGAATATTATTTGGGAGAGAAAAACATTTAATGGATTAAGTTTTAGAAGTATAACTTTTACTTATTGTTTTGTGGATTTTTTTTTTAATAGTCATACTGAGGAGAAGACTCAATGGGAACATCCGAAAACTGGAAAAAGAAAACGAATAGCAGGAGGTTTGTATTTTGTTGTCATAAAACAAAGAACCTGTATTTAAAGCATTGATTAGATAGGAATAATCTCATAGGCGTGGAGGTGACAGGTCACTGTCATTCTGGAAAGGCTCTTTAGTAGGGAATCCTCAAGGGACTGGAGGAGCTTATGGGATTTTGTAGAAGGAGGTGATGCAATCTTGGGGTGGAGTGGTGAGGATGTTTTTGGTCTTTGAAAAGTATTAAACTAAGAGGGGGCTTTGACTCAGAGTTTTTCAGATTTTCCTGTAATTGCACTCTTCTTAAACTCGTTATTGGTTGCTATCATGGAATTAAATATACCAGTGTTTGATGGAATTCCATCAAGATTGCCATGATTTATGGGTACTTTTGAGCAAGTGTGACCTACAGAATAGAAGTTTATATAAGAAGGTCCCTGTCCTTGATGGTTAGGGGGAGAGAGAATATGTACCCTGGAAGAAAAATGAAACTTCTATAATACTGTATAAGAAGCATCACAAGTCAGTATACAAATGGTGTTGGTAAAGATACATTCTGTGAATTCTTTCAAGGGAGAATTTACGTTGATTAGAACAACCAGTAAGGTTTTCATCAAAAGCAGGAGCTGAGTGGAATATTTAAGAATGATCAAGAATGATCAAAAAAAAAAAGAGTTTTATTTTTGAGCAAGAGGCAAGAATGTGGAATCTAGTTGGGATAATGAGTCTTCTGAAACAGCCACATGACTTAAATGTGGCAAAGTGACGGCTGTTGGTTGGTAGGATAGGCTTAGGGGGCAGGGGCTAGAAGGGCATGGCACCTCTCTTGACCAGGGAGACTAGGCTTCAGTTCACCCCACTGCTGCCGTGTGTAGACTTGTCAGTCTTTCCTGTGTTTCAGATTTGCCTTATGGATGGGAACAAGAAACTGATGAGAATGGACAAGTATATTTTGTTGAGTAAGTGTCTACATAGAAACTATTCTCAGCCATTTTGCTCTTTAACATGTTTTACTATAAAAGTAATATTCGTTGGAGAAAAATATGACAGTATATAACTG